AAGGGACCCAGCCCCACAAGGGAGGGACCCAGCTCCACGAGGGAGGGACCCTGCCCCACGAGGGAGGGACCCTGCCCCACGAGGGAGGGACCCAGCTCCACGAGGGAGGGACCCAGCTCCACAAGGGAGGGACCCAGCCCCATGCATGTGACAAAGGCGTAAAAAACAAGTTCTGCTTCCAATTACCCAGCTTCTATAATTTGACGGCCGGGACCCTAACCATTTTAGTTCATTACCCCCACCCTCCTTTGAAAAATCCTGGATCCGCAAGTTTGGTCAGTTTTTGTGATACTCTCAGGTATGTTGCTGTTTAGGGAATAGCGACGTGTGATGCATATTTTGCATGTTTCTTGGGGACGGGCAAGCTAGTTATAATAACTCAAACTCTAACAGTAAATCAGGAAAATTCTGGGGGGAAATATTGGGGTTACACCCGCACTTTCAACTATTTCCTATAAAGGCAAGAGAGTGAACCTCATTCTTAAAAGGAATGAGTCCCTTATAAATCCACACCATGATTTGAAACCACTCAATAAAGATGAAAAACCACTCCAAAAAAAGTGAAAACCACCCCCTTTCTGCCTGCATATCTCAGATTTTAGCCATCCATCCATCCCACTTACCGGCACATATACTCCTCGTTAATTTCCATTTCAAGAAATCTGGGGCGTACGTAAAGCAGTCTTAAGACTCTACCTTTAGTTTGATGAACCCCGTAAAAAAGAATCAGAATCACTCACATTCATCTGTCGTAGGTCTTGTGCTTTGAACCCCACTTTTATTAAATAAGCCATTACGCCTATTTTCATTTTAATTTTGATGTCACTTTGTGCGATTAATTTCCCCAACAGCCCAACAGGTAGAATATCTTTAACGCTCTCTAATGAAATGGTCAGGTCCTTACCTAGATCAGGACGTTCTTCTGGAAGCTCTTGAGGAGAACGTGGACAACCTAACCATGGCACTTTCCGGTCTGAACGTCAGCGTGTCCTTGGTCGGTGTCGAGGCTGGGCAGGAGGAACCGATCGTCACCCAAGCACCGTCTACCTCAGCGGCCCCGGTACCTCGTGGCATGCCCGTCGGTGTTGTTGTCGCCATCGTTGTGGTCGCCATGCTTGCCGTGGTCATTGTCGTTGTAGTCATTGTTATATGCATCAAGTAAGCAAAACAATGTGTTCCCATTTTCATGTTCTGTTCAGCATCTTTGTAATGTGTCGTTGTTGACTGGTGGCAGACCTACGGGCCGAGTTCTTTCGACAAGAGTTTCACACACATGCTTTTTACATGTGCAAAGTTTCAACCGGAAAAATCTTGTACGCACATCTTAAATGGCTACTTGCTGCCCCACGATACCCAGATCAGCATTACTTTGCGTCTTTGTACAGTTAGCAAAAACTATTTACGCACGACAAAATTAATGTCAGACTACTGAATTAACATCTCTCAATGAAAATAAGCCTTTCAAGAGAACTGTCTCAGTATCAAAAGCATGGACACACCTATTTCAAAATGTAGTAAAATTTCAGGATAAAAGGTCTTAATTGGACTGAATAAATAGCTTGAATTCTTCATTTTCATGTGCATCAGTGCTTGTGTAGATGATACAAATTTCCCGATGCTCCTTCACTTAATTCATGACATGATTTCGTCATTGTTTCTTGTACTTCCAGGAGTTCTAAGCTAGGGAAGGTTGATCCCAACGACAACGAGAAACCAGGTAAGTATATTCGAAACATTATGTTTGTTTACTAGCCATCATCAAAGGTATTCTTTTAGACATGAAGATAATTGTGACAAAATGCTTCATTTCATCTATTTTCAGATGTTCCAGGAGGCTATGAAAACCATGTAATGACAGAAACGGCTCCGAACGCCTAGCTGCCGTGTGTGCAAACTCTAATGACATCCACGAATACGAAATTCCTGATTTCATGAAAATCTCCCCTACGCGTGCACATTTTAGCTATGATCTTCATGCTGTAGTTTTCGTCGCTCAAATAATGCCTACGCGGCAATGTTATAAGATTATAATACTGCACCAATCCAACTTGAAAATTCCTATGTCCTATATACCGGTATGTTCTCTGCTTGTAGAAGGTATTGCTGCTCATCAAAACAGAGGGTGAAAACTGAGGATTGCAACGTATATGCAAGTCTCCGACATTTGGAAGGATTGCCACGTTTTTCAATTATGTGGAGGCTTCAAGATTAAACTTTGTTAGAGACCACGTGCATGATCCAGGCTGCACATTTTTCAGCGACCTTCCACTAACTACATTGACGAAGTGACCAAGGCTCGAAATCAGGCCTTAATTGGCAATTTCGAGCGTATTCTATTCGGATGGAATATCTACGAGTAAAGGTTTTATTAGACAAAAACCAGCGCAAAACTTGGTTCAGACTGTCGTGCCAGAATAGCGCCGAACTAAATTGGTCTCAGGCGCCTATATAGCAGCTTCAATCGACCCATAAAGAAGATTCTTAGAGGGCGTACTTTACCAAAGCACATCCAGCTCGCCTCTTGGTGGGCCATTTCTCGCAAAACGTTTTCTAATTTTGACATGAAGTAATCTCGAAAACCAACAAGACTGATGGAAAAATACATATTTTGTGGACACGTACGTTTTTCTAACCATATGCATGGACTCGGAAAACGCCGGCAAGCGGAACTAAATGCTTCATTAATATTACATATTTTATATGGCTACAATATGAGCCTACCAGCTCTTTATATCAATCACGTCAGCTTCTGCCGCTGCAACAGAATTTCAAATCATGTAATTACATTATCCTCATCATATACAGGACCTGTTATTACTCTTGCCTTAGCAAGATTGCCATTGGATTGTGGAGTTCTGGAAGTCCAACCTTCTAATTAAAAAAAATAATAATTTTGACTGCAGTAAAATGTTGACAGAAATATTAGTGAAATTGAGAACAACAATTGCCATAGTCAAAATTTGACTTACAAGTGTGACTGGCCACAATCTTCCTGGGCGTCACCACGCGGCGCTATTTCTCACCCCTTTACGCTATTATCTACGGGCACGTATTTAGTCTTGTGCTACCTTAAAAACACAATCTGACTGTGGCGCTGAACAACACTTGTCACACTGCCAAATAACTCTTACCACTCTCAAAAAGATTGACGACGTGATATGAGATCATTTAAGGACTATCACATCTCAACATACCTTTTCACAGCTGACAGCTAAAATCCCCAAATAAAGACCTCATTGGAGGAAAAAATCCCGAACCACAATAGCGTTTATTTAGCAACAACAGTACATTATGATTTTTTTTTTGACAGATCGGACTCATTACAGTTTTAAATATAGGCCTATCAACTTACTCCTTCCGTCCGTAAACTAATCATTGTAAGACTTCGTTCGGCTTGCAACTTCTACTTCGGTCTTGTCTCCCAAGGTCACGTCTGAATCAGCAGCTGTAGTCATATTTGTTAGTCAGTGCTTAAGTTTTTCGTCGTTTTACCCCCGACTTAAAGCCACATTTGAGACTTATGTTGAATTATTCATATCAGTTCACGACACCACTCGGCCTAGAATTGAAAACAAAAATAGTGTCCCAATCTCGAAGGCCGAAAACTTCCGCGTCAAATACCACGTGTAGGTGGTTGTAACATGCCTTCAAGACACGCTAATAGAATATTGTTATTACATTTTCCCACAATCAGATTTTTGTTGAACAATTATCCTGTGAATTCCCAATTTTGGGGAGAAATGGGCCAGATTCGCGGTATAAAGCGAGTGGAGACATCATACATCGTGACTATGCGAGAACGTGCGACACGGCAAAAAATTAAAATGGCTAAATTTTTTCAGTTATCTGCACTCATCGCGAGTTCATGCCTACTGCCCCAGACTATCAAAGAACATTTGTGAGTACTAATAACTCAAAGCGTCTTCAAAATATTGAACGTGATGTTGGCTGATGTTTCAACATCGTTCGCAAACGTGAAGCATGTTGACAGCTCAGGTTATTTGTGTGTAACTTCCACCAATCATCTCCCAAGTGATGTGAATTAGGCATATTGCCGCCCCTGGTCAGATAACATCCCAAACCTTCCTGTGTGGCTTGAGTCGCGGATTGCAGAAAAACTATGGAAAGTCTTGGAACCAAGAATAGGTTGTGGCTTGAAATCACACACAGTGCAACTTAACTTGTACTTGGGCAGAAAGACTTGTGACTTACTTGTGTTTGGACAAAACTGGCTTGTGACTTGATTTGACTTGACCTGTTATCAAATGACTTGTGGCTTGACTTAGACTTGCAAAAATTGACTTGTGACTTGACTTGACTTGACCTGTGTTCAAATGACTTGTGACTTGACTTGTGCTTGGACTAAATGACTTGTGACCTGACTTACCCTTGCAAGAGTGACTTTTGACTTGACTATGGGACTTGCAAAAATTGACTTGTGACTTGACTCAGAGTTGCAAAAGTTGACTTGTTACCACTTCAGACTTCTTGGAACGAAACAAATCTCATATTTACTGCTAATAATACTGCTGAAATACAAAGACTTGTTTCTGACATTAACTTCTGGTAATCCTGAAGATGAAAGAATTTGGTCGGAGAAGGAAAAATTCAAGAGAACGGAAAATCGACAAAGAAAAAGGCCCTTGATTTACTGGACCCGAAGAACACAGAACCCATCATTCGACTGATCCTATTAACTTGGATTTTTTGCTAAAGCCTGGTTTCCCCTGCCATGCACTTGCCTTGAACAATTAAAATGATGATCCCGTATAGACTACTAGTAGTGCATTACATAAATTTATACGGAGCTAGGCTTTAGAAAAGAGCTTCGCCTGAACCCAAGTTGTTAACAAAGTCATTCTGAACGACTAGAAAAATCAATCTATCGACGTCATGCGCGGAGAGTCGCTGGTGATTATTTCATACTACATGTACATTGAACTTTTTGTGACAATTTAAGTCTCGGGAATAATTTAGCGTAGAGCAACTCTAGTAAACCAGCCCGAATTGGGTGTTATAAAGTTACCCTTTAATGAAGAAATTCACTCAGTGACTATTTTTAAACTCTGCATTTTGGTACTTAGATTTTTAATTAGAATTCGTTATGTCAGGGTTAAAATTCGATTACATTTAAGAGATGTTACATAACATATCAAAAATAATTATTGTTTCAGTGGCGAATTTTGGAGAAAATCTTGTGTGAGCAGCACTGCAGGTAGTATTTTTACAAATACATAAATATTGTATTTATGTTGGAATCTGTTTTCAAATTCCGAATTTGTTAAAGCATTTGAAAATAATTTCTGTTTCTGATTCTTTTCAATATATGCGATTATTTTCAGGTGTAACGTGTGACGTTTTAACATTCTAAGTATTTTTATACTATGCGTATATATTTTGGCTATTCACGTTGTATACTATTTTGCAGAAGAAAATAAAAAATATTTTAACAAGAGAAATTATTTGTGAATATGTTATTTGATTTTCTCTTAAAGAAAGAGATCTCGAGGACAGCCGTACACTTTATCATTCTTTGTGCGTGGTGTAGCCATCATGTCTGCCGTTTTCGAAATCCCACTCCCATGCTGACAGACAATGAGTATTCCAACAGCGCATGCCCCAAATGAAGCACACAGGTAAGGTCATTTTGGACGCGCGTGCGATAGTCTGCTCCGTGGAGATCATTAATTTTACTTTGATCGCTATGGTGGACCCCGTGGGCGCAGCCCTATGCGGACTCGTGCGCTTTGTTCGGCGATGACCTAGCTTTTTATGATATATTGAACTAGCTCAGAAGAGTGACGAATGCCGGGAATAATCACGTGAAAATGTCATGGAGGTCATGAAAAAGATTTTGTACTGCCTCCCTGTAGCCATACAGCCATTACACAAGCCATGGGACCATTATAACTCCTGGCAGGCCAAAAGCCAGCCTGATCCCCGACAGAGACACGGACAGAGGGATATAAGACACATCACTCATGGAACGGGATATTTCCATGCGCATGGATCTCTGGAGACCTTTATTTTTGAACAAGCACTGACCCAGAAGCTTATCCAGATCTTGGGTTGGGGGGTGGATTATTTTTCCAAAAAACGACTGTCCAATTCTTTTCTTTCGTAAATTACACCATCCTTTCCCTTTCCAAATAAAGATGGTACGCCTGTATACCGTTTCCGAACTGAAGATTTAAATTTGCTTGAGGATAAAATGATCAAAGAGCGGGGACCAGACAGCGCGCAAAGTCAGTTCGTGGAAACAGCTATAGGCACCGCGGGAGAGACTCCTAACACAGGCTTTTCACGTTTCCATTTACCAATAAGTATTCGAAAGCGATGAAAATTTCTGAGTCGAACATTTGGTCTATTGAAGCCTCGACGTTTGCATAAAAGCAGCTTTTGAAGAAGTCTTGGTAAGTTAACTTTTACATTTATTACAGGTTATTTTGAACCTGGTAAAATAAACTTCAGAAACCCATATTTTATCATATCCTCGTATCATATCCAGAGTCTCCAAATTCTTATTTTAACTCTAATTTAACTGAATCTTCACTGTCACATTAAACTGTTGTAAACCCCGTGAGACGAATTTAAAGACGTGCTGTCTATGTACACGTTCTCAGTCTGTTGAAAAAGACGACGAAGGGACACGCGTTTTTATGTGGCTTATCTACCGTTAAATATTTTAGCCCAGCCAGCTTTTTACTGGAGGATGGATATTGTCGCTCCTATTTTTTCGAGGTTTCTAACAACCGAAATGTATTCCTCATGGCCAAAAAAGGGAGAAATATTGCAAAAGCTTAAAATACGCCGCTTGGGTAAGGTTAAGGGCCTAAGGGTGTATATAAGTATACGTAAGACGTACAATTATTGTAATTATGAGCAGCGCCTCAAGTGTCATGCGATGTCCAGCGACCCCCCACCCCTGTTTTTCGAACTTTTCCCCCAATCTCCGCAAAGAGTTTTGCCACCGCTGTGTACGGTGGTGATATATCCGCCAGTTATGTAAATCACCTCGTCAAATTAGTATGCAGAACTATTCACCGAGAATACGAATTTGGATTCCTCCTTCCTCTGTTACAAAGCCTATTTCAAATCAATACCACATTTTGCTGCTATTTCAGTAACGTTTTTTGTGTTGGTACCGCTTAATGATTACGGCTTTTCTGTATCGAACACATGGCGTTGTCCTTGGGTTATAGCCTATTCATCCATTCGTAAAACCCCAATAAACTCAGTCTGCAAAGATCCGATTATTGGTATACTGATTACATCATCACGATTTGTGCTCCAACATCTTCTGCTGCAAGGAAAGATTTTTGTGGCGCACATGAAAGCGACGTCAAAAGACGAGGGTAGGAAGCTGTGAACGAGCACAGCTCTGTTATTTTGATGTCGGTGCATATGTACTGAAGGAATAATGTTATGAACCAGCCCGTGGTGGACCAAGAGAGGGCACAATTTTCCTAGCAACGGAGGCTCCTATGATCAGAAATGCGTTTTGCCGGTTCACAAACGGCTATGAAAACACATGCCGTACGATCGAGTCGCTACCAAAATGAAGACTCACCAACATGGCTCTTTTCATCTGATGAGGGGGTGCTCCTGCTCAAGACAGATAGGCTAACCCCCTTTTGCCCTCGAGCAAGAATAACAATTCCTCTGTCTGTAAACTGGGTACCCAGAGTGCTACTCGCAATTTGCGAATAGTGAAATACCAAAATATTTCCTGGAGAGGATATCCACTAGAGTGAAAAGTCCAATTCTTGGTTTCTAGGATGAAAACAAAACTTTAAAAGCTACATATGCACAGGAACACGACACTGTAAATATGTGCTTGTTGGAAGCCATTGTTTTGCGAATACAACATGCTATTTGAGCTACAGTGGTAGACAAACGCACTTGAGTTCAAATCTAGTAAATCTTATAACATAAACTGCTTCTTAACATTTTAAGGTCATTCAAAGTTAACATTCAGGTTCACATCATCCCCTAGTTTTTCTCTTTCATATCATTTAATTTTATCCTCTATCTCTAAATATTACCCAGACAAAAATATTAGTGAAATTGAGAACAACAATTGCCAAAGTCAAAATTTGACTTACAAGTGTGACTGGCCACAATCTTCCTGGGCGTCACCACGCGGCGCTATTTCTCACCCCTTTACGCTATTATCTACGGGCACGTATTTAGTCCTGTGCTACCTTAAAAACACAATCTGACTGTGGCGCTGAACAACACTTGTCACACTGCCAAATAACTCTTACCACTCTCAAAAAGATTGACGGCGTGATATCAAATCATTCAAGGACTATCACATCTCAACATACCTTTTCACAGCTGACAGCTAAACTCCCCAAATAAAGACCTCATTGGAGGAAAAAATCCCGAACCACAATAGCGTTTATTTAGCAACAACAGTACATTATATAAAGGAGGTAGGCCTTATGGAACTCAGCATTTTTTTCGACAATGATTTAGAATTCTATGAAGTCAAAATTAGGAAAAGGGCCTATGCCATGCGCATTCTCGAGGAGACCTCCGAAGCCCGCCTTAGGCAGGCTGTCCTGTCATCTGCGGAGTCACCGTCGGGGTGCAGTACACGATTTGTTGGCCGTGGATTTTATCATCCGAGTGGTGATAGTCGAAGGTGACCACAGCCACCGGTTTGCCACAGCCCTCGGCTACCGGCGCACCTTTGAAGTTGTTGTCCATGCAGATGTCGACTTTGAAGTCGTCGTGGCCAGTAGGGGTCCAATTGTGCTCGAAGCACATGCGGAATACCTTCTCAGTGTTGTCTGAAAGGTTTGAGAGCAAAGAAAACAGGAATTGAAGACGTCTATTTCAATTATCCTTTCCTTTCCAGAGCACCAATAAGCCACTTGCGAGTTAAATTTGAATAAAATCTGGTACGCTGTGTTATCTGATTGCATAGAAACGTAACAATTTGAATTCCCCAGACTTAAGACACTGTTGCTTTTCCTCGTGATTCGGGGCAAGCTTTTGCATACCGTCTCTGGATTGAACTGGTTCCTTTGTGCCATTCTTACCCGTTGAGAACAGTGTATTGTTGCAAGGCGTCTCTTGTGTTCGTAAGCAAAAGCTTGCCCCCAATCACGAGGTGTCATACGCAGCAAGGTATGAGACGGAGAGAACCCCCCTGCTTTGTGTTAGTCATTGTCTCGCAGGAATCTGCGGAATTCCTTTCAGACATC